ATCATGCACTATATAGACCACACGTATATATGCACTATATAGACCACTATATACTGCACAGCATCATGCACTATATAGACCAAACGTCGTGATACAGAAGCGCGCGTGCCGCCTTGAATAGACTGCGCATAATATTAATATGTAGACTGCGCATAGCATCATGCACTATATAGACCACACGTATATATGCACTATATAGACCACTATATACTGCACAGCATCATGCACTATATAGACCAAACGTCGTGATACAGAGGCGCGCGTGCCGCCTTGAGTAGACTGCGCATAATATGTTTTTTCGTGTTGCTGTATCACTCCCATTTCCTTCAAATGCCGCGCAGACATGTCAATATGTTTCTGAATACTCGCTAACTCAAATCGACGCGCTTTCATATCTGAGCAGTCGCGTCGTCTCGCTGGCAACAGAGATTCACCGAAATAAACACACCAACAGCCGATTGAAGGCAGCGCGTCAATTTGTGTTCGACGTTTGACTTGTTTGTATCTCTCAAAGTTCGCGGAAAATTACAAACATCCGCCGTTGATTAGCACGAGAGCTCTTATTAGCCTGTGCAAGCAAAGGTGAACGCTAAACATCATTACTAAACTACTACTACTAAACTATGAAACTACTAAACTATTACTAAACATTAAAATTACAAACATCAACCATCAGTTAGCTACTATTAGCCTGTGCAAGCAGTGCGACGCAAAGTTGAACGCTAATCATCAAAATTACTAAACTACTACTACTACTACTACTATTACTACTAAACTACTACTACTACTACTACTACTACTACTACTACTACTACTACTAAACTACTACTACTAAACTACTACTACTAACCTACGAAACTACTAAACTACAAAACTACAAAACTACTAAATTACGACTACTAAACTACGAAACTACGAAACTACTAAACTAGTACTAAAAATTAACGTTACAAACACTAACCATCAATTTAGCACTAGCTTTGTTATTAGCCTGTGCAGGCAAAGATGAACGCTAAACGTAAGCCGGACATGAGTCAGACCCTCTATAAGCGACAAATTGAAAGCGACTACGCGACTAGTTTTAATGAACGCGTTGTTATACTATCGCAGGTTGTAGCGAGTGCCTATCTGTCACCGCAGTTGTCGCTGCGTTATCGTAGCTGTCGCTTCGTGAGTACAGTCTTGGCAATGGCCGCGAGCTGTTACTACGAGATTACGTTTAGATTAGCCGCACCTGCGCGCCGACTGAGCGAGGAAAAATACACAGAATTCGCACACGCTGATTTTTCGTCGCTGTTCTCTTCGTCGCTGAAAAAAAGATGACTGAGTTAAAAGTGCGATTGATTCCGGGCTGTTACTTGTCAAAGGGATTGACTTCACAGGCACGTATATATATATATATATATCAGGAGTAGATAAAGGGAAGGAGTGTGACTCCAATAAACAAGGGAAATTCGTCATTTACTAGCCTTATAATACCTACGATTTACTACGCGTAACTCATCCAACTCCGAACTGAGCTCGATAATCGGGACACCAGTACATTCGAACATCACGTACCAAGATGTTCCTCGTAGACACCCCGCCCGAGGCGCGCCGCAATCCGGGAAGATACAGACTAAAACATACGACACGATTCTCCAATCTCTGTTACCATTAATCAACACCGTAAGGCATCGCCTATGTATTCATACAAAAGGCACCTTAGACTAACGGCCACTAGACGCTCCTGTCCACGGCTTGCCGCTGGGCTCGCGAGCGGAAGATTTTAATCCGATCTGCTGCTGCTGATGAGCTACCTAGAAGCGGATTGGCGGCCGGCGTGGTATGGGGGCAATGCCAGCGTGTAGCTGTTTGCCGCATAAGGCTACATTGTAGCTGGTATACAGCAGTAAACCGGGTCGCAAAAGGTTATCTCGCTTCTTCGGACCGCGCGAGATGTTGCGTTGGATGCACTTAATCACCGGGGAGGACGCGCCTGCGAAGCTCACAAGCGGCTCGCACGTAACATGCAAGGTGGCAGCCGTGGACAGTGTTGGGTTTCAGCTGGCCTATTGTTTGAAGTCATCAGGACGATTGCTACGGTTGGATAATGGACAAAGGATTGGAGACTCGTCGTGCGTATGTTCTTTAGTCGTATCTCCGGCAATTGCGGAGTGTCTACGACGAACGATTCTGGTATACGATGATTGTCCGAATGTACTGTGTCGATTTGAGCTCAAGTTGGACGAAGTTACGAGCTAGTAAAATCGTAGCGTATTTATAAGGCTAG